GAGACAAGCTCGATTGCTTCAAAGCGAAATATTTCGACGAAAACCCCTTCGACAATCCCTTATTCCTAGAAGATGAAGTAGAAGACCCTTTAGCGCCTTTAGAAGTGGACCATAAACAATTTGCTTCAAGAATCATGCTGTTCCCTAAAGAGGACGACGAAAATGTAGTGCAAAAATCATCCAAAAGACCAGAGAACCATCGTTACCATCACCACAGGAAACTAGAATCTTCAACTACTAGAACTCCAAAATCTCGACGCACTCGCATCAAAAGCTACCCTAGAGGGGTTTCAAGATCGAGGCATCGAGTTGTTAGGATAAAAGGCAAGAATGTTAGGTACGTAAGACCTCGAAGACCGCAGAAGACTATCAGACGACCGATAACTTCTGCTAGTGAAGTATCTTCGATGTACACTCCTTACCAGAACCAAGTTTACGAGGACGTCATGGGGACCATTAAGAATATGGCGAATTCATATCAAGTGGAGGAAATCACTACAGTTCCAACGTCAGAAGAAGATGATACTTCCGAGGAAAGTGAGGAGAAGACAAACATGTCAGAGAACTCTACTAAAGCTGGGAAGAAAGAGAAAGATAAAACGTTAATGAGTAGCAAAGAACATTTGAGTAATTCCGGGGTGAATGCTGAGAAAAAACCACCGAGGAAATATAATAGACATCGAATGAGTTATAAAAGAGTCCGAGTGCCACAGAAGAATAGAAGGAGGGTGCAGATTTTGCAAATGAAGGCGAATAGATTGGTACCCATTGCTCATCGTCATAGAATTATCAGATATAAGCGAAGTAAAAGGAGCGAAGAAGATGTTGATAAATCCATTGACGCATCCGCCGAATTTTCTTCTATAGAAGTGGCTGACAGTGGAGAAAAAGATGAGGAAATAATTGGTAAGCAGGAGATTAAAAATTTCACGAGTGTGTCTGATTCAGAAGAAATTTTGAGAAAGAAAGACTCTGTTGAGAAGGACTTGAATTTTAATAGCTCTTCAAAGACAATTGAAGCAAAAAGAAAATCTAAAGTTCCTAAAATTGTTTCTAGATCGTTAACCACCGATGAAAATCAGGGGAAAAAACCTACGAAAGTCATCTACACGATTAATGATCGGATTAGACACTCAAAACCGAAGGCAGAGGTAACTAGAACTGGTAAGTTCACAAATGAAAGTGAAATTGTAGTCGATCATCGTAGAAAAGAGCCAAGGTATAATTATATCAGGCGAGAGAAGACTGTGCCAGTTTCTTCTACGACGGAATTGCCTTATATTAGACAAGAAAAGTTTGTACCAGTTTCTTCTACGACAGAATTGTCTTTAATAATTTCTACTGAATCATCTGTAGACGCTGGAACGGATAGTAGTATTGCAGTCGGTAGCGATGAAGTGATGAAAGAAAACATGAATACTCAATATTTCGTAAACAATACTGATGGAGAAAAATTAAATCAATCTGAAGCAATCGATGAATTTAATCAAAGCTCTGTTGAACTACCAACCGAAGCAAATTCGAATAAATCCGCAAATAGTTACGCAGTTCACGAGGCTATTAAGGAAGATTTGACAACAACACAAGGACCACCAGAAATTTCGATATTGAAATCGTATTTCGAACCTTCCCCGAGTTTGGCAGAATTTTCCTCCGAGGAATATAGAAAAGCATTTTTCTCAAAGAACAACAGCAAAGATTTTAGCTCCCCCTATAATTCTTCAGTTTCCAAAGAAAGTCTCGAAAAAGTAGACGATTTTTCAAATACTCATCGATCACGTTTTTCTAATGAAGAATCCTCGGGGAAATTAAAAAGCGCAAAAACTGAACCAAGTACGGAATCGTCGGAAGAAGGCGGTGCTTCAAAAGACAGCGATTCAAAGGAGGATCGAACATTCTTACATTATTGGTCCAGACCCACATCCCCAGCTGAAAATTACGAAGACGATAAGTACAAAGATCTAGGTCGTCGTGTAAACAAGCCAGCTTTCTTCCATCCCCCATTTTCTTCTTTAACTTCAAGGAAATCGTTGTTCAGCAGCTCTGAAGAGGACTCTGGTGAAACTGAAGAAGCTGAGGAAAAGGATGAATACGTTTTTCCATGGCACAGGGACAAAATAGACAAGAAGAAAAGGAAAAAGAGGAATCGAAGTCGAGATAAATTAATCGATGAATACGAGTATCCTTGGGACAGGCGAGAACGTTTAGCGCGAGAAGAGAAAAGAAATAAGAAAGGAAAGCATACGAGGTTAGATTTTGATGACGAATACAACGCTGATGACGTTCCCTCGACGAAAAGTCGCAGAAATGTTTATCCTCGAGGAAGAATTCGGTTCTGGACTCGCAAGGATGAGAACTCTTCTGAAGAAAACAAGTCTGATAATGTAGAAAGCAGCAGCGAAACTCGGCCGGTAAAGAAGTACAGTAGTCGGTACAGTATGAAGAATGTTAAGTTGCCAGCTGATGCAAGTTCATCGAGTATAAAGTCGAGAAGCGTGAAAGAAATTAGTAAATCTATTAAAGAAGCACTCGAAAGAGATTCGATGGAACAGTCGATAGAGTCTAGCGAGGAGAAAGTTGCTCAAAGTAGTAGAATCTCGAAAGGAATTGTTCCTGAGGATGTTACCATGACGCCGAGAAGAAATGGAGGAAAAGAAGTGGACAAAATTTCGCTCAACGATACTACTGATGTAAAGAATAAAAATTCGAGTGTAACATTGAATAATACTTTAGAGAATGGCGAGTCTCGATTAACGGTAACCAAGACGATTCCTCAAGAAATTCTAAATTCTACGAAAGAATTGAACTCTACGTTGCAATTGAATAAAAGAAGACGTCGGCCTATGAAGAATGCTTCTAATGTAGAAAGTACGACAAAGATAGATGTTAATAGAGGTCGGAGGAGACAGAAGGTAGCAGCAACATCCCCTACATCCATTTCGTCAACCAGTACAACTTCAGCACCGAGAGTAGTAAGACGAAATTCTACGAAATTAAATAATACTGGAAAGAAAGTTAATTCTAAAATTGGAAATAAATTGGATACTGATGATCCCAAGGAAGCAGAAACTTCGATGAGAAATAGGACGGTTGAGCATCGTGTCAACGCGTATGAAGAAAGTAATAGCGGAAGGAAGAGTAGAATTGACAAGGAAAAGAACGAAACGAAGAAGAATATTAAAGATCGTGGGAGGAAAGCGAAGAAACAGGGAAGAAACAGAACAGAGGAACTGAACGAAGAGAAGAGTAGTGAAGAAAAGAAAGGACGCAGTCAAAATTTGGAGAAAGAAGCTTTCGGTAATCGAGGGAACTTAGGCCATTACGATGCAGATGATAGCGAAGAAACACATAAAGAGACAAAAGAAGTGACTACTGTCAGATATGATGGGGGATTTGACTTTTTGGACGACAGGATAGAAGCGCTGAGCGATTTTGTGAAGTCTGATGATACTCACGATAATCTCGATGAATTCGGATTTGAAGGTAGTATAGTACCGCATAATAGAGCTGCTCAACTGTCCCAGCAAGAATCGAGGGAATTTATCACCACTAAATCCTGGATATCAGAGAATTATAATTTCTAAGGTAGTCAACAATAATTTCTTAAGATATAACTTTAGATATAGATTAATAACATCTTCTGTTAAAATATATAATCTCTAAGATTTGTAGTCTGTTGTTTAAGTAATATAAATATCATTGTGTATTTTCCTTTCATATTTTTCAATCGTTTAAGATAATAATTAGATGCTAAATAATTAAGATATTCATGATATTGTTATTTTCAGAATTTTGTAAAGGACAATGTGAAGAAATATTTCCACCTTATTTGTAAAAAGCTCTTGAATCAAGTCGATGGAAAGCGCTTATAGAATTCCAAGGCAAAAAGAAACTAGCTGATCGGAGAGCATGAAAATCGAATTGTTTCGGGACCGAGCGGCTTAAGAAAGGAAGAGTGAGAGGACAGACAACAAAAGGGAAAAGGAAAGTGAAACAGACAACGTTAAATAGAAACTTTACTCTTCTATACAGTTAAATGATTCAAATATTCCATTTTACTATCAGCTTCTTTTCTTTTTACTAACATGTTACATTTTTATTGTTATTAAACAGTTCAACTGTTGTTTCTAATGTTGTACATAAATTAGATTAGTTTGAATAAAGATGGACGTTGCATGAATAATAAATGCAATGCATTGTAATTTAATATCTTTAATAGAATATTCATCATTACCTAAAACTAATTAGCCGCGTAAATTACATTCAAGAACGCTACTTTTACATAATCGTGCTCCTCCTTCATGAACTGGTTAACCTTGATCTATTTTAAAACGAACCAGAATGTCAAAATTTTACCGCTTTATGCTAGCGATCTTAACTCTTGTTCATTATTATTAACGTGATAGAAGTGATTCATCGATTAATTACTTCTCGGAAAATTGGAGTAAACGAACTTGCTGACGTATTACGTTGGCGGGGGGTAATGACGCATACCATCGCGGTATTGTTGCACAGATTCTGCATTCAGAACATAACGACCTTACTTATTAACGGATGTCATGGTCTGAATACCTTTACCGTTAGCAAATAATCTAAGTAATTAATTAATAATGCGCACGACTATAAAATACTTAAAAATTATATGTAATAGATAAATCATTGTAGAATGATGCATTTAATTATGCTCATACGAGCTCAATTTCTTAAATTAATATTACAAATTAATTGCCACTTTTACTATAAATCTAAAGGAATTCTGTACTTAATGATAGTAAAGATGATATAAAATTCACTTGAGGCACTTGGAGAACTTTATTGTCAAGCTGTTTACGACGGAGAATCTTCTTGAAAGAAAATAGGTAGGAAAAGTGTATTTGCATCGGTTATTTACACCGTAGACATTGTGAGAGGTAAGCTTGCGCTGGCCAAGGTTAAGGTGGACGGTATCCTCCATTTACATACGCACTGCATTCTAATAAAATCCTGAGTCGATCAATAACATTCGGTGCTGAAAGGGAATAGTAGCCTTTGATTGGCCAATTGAGAGGCCGAGCCCCGTATATAATTCGATCTTTACCTTACCGGCTTAGTTTCCTTCTGTCCTCGCGTCGCGGCTACAAAAAGGTCAATATGCCTCCTTTGAAGGTACGTCACATCGAAGAAGCGGGAAGATAATCAAACTTCATTTATCCTCGTTTTCCATCGATAAGAAAACAGAATATTACAATTCATCATATTAATTACTCGGCGACACATCAAAAGATTTAGATGCAGTGATAGATATGTAATTTTCTGTACTGAAGAAACGTGATTGTGGAAAGATAGAATGATGTAATTTGAAAGTTAACAATTTGTTCGACTTATCTCGTGGTGTTATGTTAGTCAAACTACCAATGGTGATTAGGATTGGGCCTTAAGGAAACAAGATAAACTTTTTAATATATAATTATGGTTGTATATAGATTTTATGTTCACATTAGATAGTAATTATATTGGTAATAATGGCTTTATGATAGAATAAGTTAGGAATAAAGGATGGAACAAAGAGACTTCTAGCAAAATATGTTTTGTTCAGTGTCACATTTAACAAAAAACGTTGTTCTCTTCGTAAAAATGATTAAGTAAGCCCTCGCACGGTTCTAAACGGAACAAAACGAGAAAATGGTGCACGAGTGTGATGTAGATCACGTGAGTAACATTGTGAGAGGTGATTGTGTTGTTCAAGGTCCATATGTTTCACAGTATTGAGGATATTGGATATTTATTGAACGCTTTAGATTGAAAAACAAGAAGTGAAATTTTGTTAAAATCCGATTCAAAAGAAGTGTGCAAACTTGTAATGAAACCTTTATAATTTTTACTGTTTTTACGCGTGAAGTATTTTTCGAATTCAACCTTGATCCTTTCTCGACGATGCTCTGTTGTTACAAAAATTGTCGAAATGAAATCCTCGTCTGCGATTAGCCAATTGTAATTTTACGCCACATATAAAATGTAATCCTATCCATGTCCTTGTACTCGAATTTCATTCCTCTGTCTCGATTAGTTTGTTAGTGATCCGAATATGTATCGGTTAATGTATCTGTTAATGCCTGTAGATTTGAATCTATCAAGTTTCCCCAATTTTTTAATATTGACTTATTATATTTGAATCACAGCGGTTAAATGCTCGGAGAAAGTAAGAACGTTAAATCTTTGGAACTTAACACCTCAAGCTTGTTTATTTAATACTTCACAGAATTTCTAAATTTGTGCATCGCAATATACGCAATCTAGTTACTGTAAACCTAACATCAGGCGTAAAAACACGGATGCAAACAGGAATGCGCTTTCTATTTGCAACTGCCATTGCAGTAACTTAGTCAACTATTGCAAGTTAATGCTTGGGATCAATGACTTAATAGGTGACTGTGAATGCATATGAAAATTTAAAAAAAATGTAATTATTGTGAAAATGTAATCTAATATATCTGTATTAGGGTTTAAACACTTTAAGTCACTGTGATATAATAGAAAGGTATGATTTATTGGGATAATTATTGATGGTGATTATTTATTTATAGACAATACTTCTGTTGACTCTGGTTGGTTTGTTGAACTTATCGACAGTCGCCCCGGACAGCGCTGGGATCGTAGAAATGGTGAACGGATTGGCGTACGGTAAGTCAGTCTTCTCACTTTCCTTTGGTACGTAAAAATTCGTATAAATCTATCTTAATTATCACTGCCATGTAAATTAATTTTAAATTAAATACATGTAGACCAATCCGATCTCACTATTTTCAAAAACATAGTCAATATTATTAATTTATATTTATCTGTGTAGCAACAGAGGACGACACTATCATTCGAGACTGTTCGATTGCTGTCCTTTCACTTTTCGATATAGAAAGTTTAAACTAAACTTTTAATAAAGATCTCAATTCTATTCTGTAGAGATATAACAATAAAGCAAGCATAAATTTAACAAATGAAATAAATAAAATATGTTATATCTCTATTTACTCGTTATATTAAGAAATAAATGCATCAGTTCGAAGATTTTAATGCCTGGAGAGGAACATATCACAAGAAACTCGACTCAGTCTATACAGAAACTTATTTTACGCGATTTAAATAATTGATTAATTTTAAGGGACTTGAGGTATAAAATGACAAGTTTACTTCTAGTCGGCAGAAACATCGATTATTTTAGTTCAGGAATTATTTAAATGATTATAGGTTGCAACATCTTTTATCCGAGACTTCATCTAACAATTGTTATTTCGTTGTAGGTGGAATTCCATACGGAAGCGTAACTGGGATGGTAGCAAAGTATCCAGGATTCATGAACCAGCAAATTAATAACCTGCAGACTCCACAATTACACGGGCTCGCCGGTGTACAACCAATCGGTGTCGCGCCAAACTACAGAGCTGCTCCGTCAGTTGGCGTGCGACCGCAAACTGTGCAAATTTATAATCTTCCGGGACTCGTTGGTTTTTATAAGTAGTCGTGAACTACTTTTTAATCAGCAATTCATTATTAGTTGCTAAGTAATTAGTAACAAAATGTTAGACATAAATGGCGTACACGTGGCATTAGCAATCATTTACCATAGATATACAAATCTAGAGAACTTCAAGAAGTCTGAGGCAATCGTCGTTGCTAAACACAAAAAAATAAAGAATTTTTATTAGAAGCATAGATAAAAATATATCCGACCACCATAATCGTTACGAAGGTTTCCATTTTGAAAATTTATAGTAATCTATTATTTATTCGATTGAGTGATGCTTAATTTATATTAATTGTACATGAAGTTATTCTTAGGAAGTTATAAAACCATTCTATAACATTCACTTCTGACATCAATGAAATTTACATGTGCTCAAGAAGACGTATAGTGAAATCGCCGAGCACCGTAATCATTGCAGATTGTCCTGATACGATACTCTAAACGCGCGAAGAATAATATTTAATAAAGAAGTGAGTGCAAAGTGGCTTCAATATCTACATTCGAATCTCCGCAAACTGGTTTTGTGGCGAAGCGTTTAACTTCGTTGCAACATATGAATACATACTTATTACTAGGACGAAAGGGTTACAAGTTGAGAAAATTGCATCCACGTATCGACGTATATGTTTTGCATCGATATTAGCACATGATTAAAGGGTAAAGACAGTTTTCATCTGAAAATAATAACAACCGATTCCTAAAGAACATTTCAGAAAATATTTACATTTCCTTGCAAGGAAATTCACTTAATTGATCTACGATAAGTGGAAAAATGATTGCAAAGACATTTCGACGAGTTCATGTGAATTTCACCTTAATGTATAGCTTTCCTCTAAGCGAATCAAGTAATTGCATATCCAACAAATTGTATTTTTATTCTGAAAGTTTCTGGGTTTAATAAAACTTAGTCGATTTCCAATCCTATTTTTCTCAGTGCGAAGTTCATCAGCCTCGGAATAAAGGGAACAAATTGAAAACAATTTGTACTTTCCTTAATTAGTATTGCAAATCCATAGGGCCATAGATCCTTTTCTTAAAGATCCTGCGGAGTGTGCAGTTCTACAATTATGTTTTAATAATTCCACCATGACAAACGAAGAGAACAGAAAGAAGCACATTCTTAGATATTAAACAATGAGCATTAGACAAACTGTTCGCTGCACATGTTATCCAATATGAATCTTAAAGACGAGATGCGAGTATCGTCGAGTTTGAGTGAATTCATTCATAATATTGCATCCATTTCACAGTGCAATCCTCCCCCTGAATTATGCAAAATATGTCGGTCTTATGTCATTTGAATTAGGGCAAAAGCGTTTATGGAGAGAAAGTATAAATGACATCGGGCACGGTGTATGGCTGTTAGTCGTCACGAGTCTCACGCACGATGCATTACCCGCTACACGTGAGTACATACATACGAACACTAATACGGTATCGGTTGACAGAAAAGCGAAAAAAAAAGGAGAACCGAAGAAGAGACGGTCTTTCGTAACGACTGAGGATGATATTCGTCCACCGAGGATGCACCATACAGCAACGAGGACACTTTCTGTCCCCGAAACAGGGAAATTAATTTTTGTCTTGCTTGCCTCTCAACGCATTCCATGCAATTGTACGTTGCACAATAGACTCCTCGTTGTTTGAGTAATTCGAGTCAATATTTTCTTTCTCGGAACCTACGGCTAACTTCAACTTCAAATCCTTGATCGACGGACGGTTTATTTTGACGCGTGTTGCAATTAAATTTATGCAATTCAGATTTCGTGTTATTTAAAAGAATCTGTCGTCAGTGCGGGTTATAAAATAATTGAAAATTAATCTACAGGGTTAGTGCAACGATTTTGTGGATGTATAAGTGAACTTATAGTGTTATTGTTTCGTTTAGTTAATTATATTTTGTTCACTGTTCAGTGAGCTTTGTGTTGTTCAATTAATTTCTAATGAAACGTGAAATTTGAGTAGTAATATATTGTGAAGCAAGATTTGTAGAACGTTGCAGCTTGTTCGGGAATCAGCGATACAAAAGTAGTGAAACAATCCATCATCTGGATAAGATGGAAGCTTTATATCTTGTAAAAGATCGTAACATCGTTGAGCAATTCATTTCTGCATGGTGCACCGTGCGTTGCAACACAATGGCATATCGCGTTCATTTACAAGTTCGCGTGAATTTAGTAATAAATAATGCGGTTAAATCTATTTTCAGCAGGCGCGAACACAATGCTGCACTCTAATCGCTTATACTTGGAACAGTTTAACCTCTTCTTCGGACGAGACAAATTTGAACAGATTTATTATTGCAGAATGCAACCCTATAGATCAGGCAACGCCATTGTGATCGATATAACAATACGTTGCTGTGTCGCCGCGATTATTTATTACGGTTCGTGAATAATGTACCGAGCAGGTGTTGTTCAAGATTTATAAGTGACGGATAAGCTTTAATGAACCGTTTTACGTTACGGCGTGAACTTTTCGTCTGTGTATCTATATATGTATATTGAAAAGCGCATGTCCTTGCAGAGAAGAAAGGATTAAACGTTGCACAATCATGCTAATTACGAACCGAGTATAACAATACGAGATAATACCTAGTGTTCTGAGAATGCGTTCCATTTAAAATCTGTCTAATAACTGTAAGTAAAAATAATTGTGTGAGCTTGACTCCCATAAAATCTTTGTCGTCGATAAAAGTGCATTTACACGTTAATTAATCTTCTCCCGTGATAAGTTCCCTTGTGTCTTAACAAGGGAATCTAATAAAAGTGTTAATTTATGCACGGCCAATTAATTGAAATTTATCTTACGATTACCTCTTTAGCCATGGAAAAATTCGAAAGGATAAAAACCTGTGATGCTGAATATATAATTTCATTAATTATTGATTGACCGGTTAGAGTGTTGTTTCGTGCACTGAATTTATTGTGATTCGCTTTGGATCACTGATCATTGACGATGATCGTAACGCGTATAAGTAGCCACGTGGTCTTTATTGCGATCGCTGAGTACGTTGCCTGTAGAATTAAACTCATGAATGAATAAATCTCATGAATGAGACGCGAAACAATGTCTCTCCCGTTTCCTGCTTGAATTAATTAATGGTAATCGATTTGTATTAAAAGCGTTCACATATTTCTATGTTTTATTTCCCAGTCATTCACGTTTCTTAAACCGACTAATCGCGTAATATCATTCTAAAAGGAAAAATTAGTTCCATTCGAAAACTGTGCTAATATTTTATTCGTTTCGGTTCTAACGTTTCTTATTAATTGCTTTTACTATTTTTCAGCGTAATTAGCATTTGTTCTGTACGACGTGATACGAATAATTTCTCTTTCTGCCATATACTGAAGGCGATACTTAAACTAGAAAGTAAGAGACAACGGTGAATAAGTACATTTCACTGTCACTACATATTATTAGAAAAGGTATCTCCTTGATAACTGACATTCGCCAACTTGCAGTCGTATAAGTAGAGAATTAAATTTCGATAAAAAATCCCATGTCGTACGTAGCAATTCACCGGGTTATTTTCCTAGATGAACTGCAATAAGCGACACTATAATTGTAATCCGCTTTCTTGCTTTCTTATGCGTCGCTATGCGTCGTACGCTTCACAATAGACAACTTCGATATTATATAATCCGAACCAATTGTTTTCTGAATTACACGCGATCAGTACCCTTCTTGGAATTCTACGGATTTCAGGAAGCACTAACGAATGCCGCGATCGATTGATTCGTCAAGCATTTCAGCTTCACGGAGAACAGGTTCCATCTGAAGAAATGAGCATTATTGATTACTTTTCCCTACGAGAATGTCGCGTTCCACGGTGAAACACGGATGCCAATGATTCTTTCGTCACCATCGTTTTAATATATCTTGAACAATGATTTTTTACGCATTCGTTAGTGGTCCGTGGCCGACTATGCATTCCTGGCTTTCACCTTGTTCGCAGAACACACAAAAATTAAGATTCAAGTAAAGAATAACTGCACACGCCTTATTCTAATCTTAGCGTCGAAGATTTAGAATCTATATTACCATTCGCAGCCACATTTACAACACGTGTAAATTTGAAAAGTGAGGCAATAAGATATTTTCTATATTAAACAGTTCTCAGTTTAGTTATGGATCGTTCCTCTTGTCGTTACGAATGAATCTCCAAAATTGAATTTGAAAATTGAACATTCAACGATTTATTGATTCGTTAAGCGGAATTTCCATGTTTCCACGAATCGGAAACGTTGCCCGACCGTTCGAGCGTTCTCGGCACTTCCGTCGTCGGGATTGCACCCTCGAAATTTGCATAATCCGCCACGGTACGCCGTGCCGAACACACAAGTGTGTCACGTGTGCATGAAAGAGTGCGTCGATCATCGGATTTGCGCGCGTACGCGCGTTGCGTCACACAATGACAAATAAAACATCGTATTATAGAAAATTGCCGGCCACGGCATGTCGCAGGGCATCATTACGTGTTACGCAGTCCGAGGGGAAGCCGGGATCTTTTTCACGACACAAAGAAAAAGAAAGCCCCCACCCCCGCCTTCAATCGCTTCTAACTATTGCTTTTGTTCTGTCGCAGATAACGGTGCTCTGCACGGCACTCTGGATCCTTCGAGACGATGTGAACGCAGCAAAAGCCGGCGTCAGTAAGCAGATTATTATATCGTTCTGGGAACCTCTTTAGTGCCATTCGCGGTCTTGAACTACTTTATGAAACAATAACAATTGTTTCTTTTCTGGAGAGAAACACGAATTTCTTTCAGTGTCAACGATTAGATAATTCGTTTTAATATCACCGCTAAACGTTTTTCGTTTAATTTTTGTATAATTATTGTCTTAATCCCATGTGTGCTCTTGAGCTACTTAGAGTGTCGATTTTGGGTATTTTTATATCGTTAAAACGTGTTAATCAATTACAGTAGAAAGAGCAACGAGAGAAAGATACATAGTATAAATGAAATGATGACGAATAAGAAATCAGATAAATGTGAATACAAGCAAAATAACTCAGTCATGTTAGATGAGTAGGTATCCCATTTCGTGTTTGGATGGCAGACAGTTTCACAAAATCTAATTAACTCCTACATAGCTCCTACATGCTCGCCACGCCGCAGTAATAAAACATGTAAAATGTCAAGAGGATATACATATAGTATTTTGGTCCTTTGTAT